TTCATCATCAGACAAATCAATGACCATAGGAAAATTTGACATTTTAAAGTATTTGAAAGAATTAATTTGGTAAAAAATTTTAATAACAATTTATTCCTGAATGATATTAATTTTTAATTTAATTTGTGTAAATAATCAGCACAAAAAAATAAATAAATATATAATAAATATTTCGTGCACATGGAAATTTGGTGTAACGTGATACCCCCGATTGAATTTTCAACACTGCACACGACTAATATATTAACATTAATATTAATACCAGTATGAAAAATCCGTTAAATTCGTTAAAGTGAGATAAAATAATTATAGAAAAATTTAGTTTTGAAAATTTAAACCCCTAAATCCGCTAAATCGAGACTCACTTGTACTAATATCTAACACCCCAATCATGTATGTTCCAGAATTTTGAAACCTGGTAAATAAAGATTTTGGATTCTGGTATTATAATTATTTAAAGACATGAATAAGTTACAAAGTTATTTATTATATTAATATTAGTTTTTGATTGTATGCAAAATATTTAATTTGACAAAAGGTTTAGAATTCGCATACGAATCAGGTTGAATGTAGTTTGCATATTTTATATTTTTTAGGCTACAGACTCAACAACAGCAACAAGCAGATTTTTGATTGATTGTTGCGTTTTATTCCTCGCGTAGCTGTAAATTTTCTCTTGAAAAAAAAATTCGAAATTTGCTCCAAAGTCATAAGAATCTGGGAAAAAAAAAATATAATTGATTGCTTTTCTCATGATATTACATTATTAACGATAGATGTAATAGAAGAGAACATCTGAATTTCCTACAAATATATTTTTTTGCTTTCTCAAACAAAAAAAAAATAACAAAATAACAAATAATGTCATTATCTAAAACAGCACAAACAATAAATATTCAAGTAATAATAATTAACAATAACAATATATATTTTATTTATATCTCAAATATGTTAAGAGATTAAATGTTTTCAGAAACTTTCAAAAAAATTGATACTCTATCAATCAATCACCAATTTGGAATTCGTGTGATTTACTAACATCATCATTTATTTGTAAAATAATATATATATGTAGTTTATTTATTGAACTATAGGCACAATAGAACTTTCTGGTCGAATCGAACATTCGGGTTCGAGCCAGTAATTTTAGGATAGAAAAATTTATAATAACAATAAACTGTGACGGTTTAAACAGAGATTTATGTACATTAATATATTATAAATAATCTATTATACTATTATTATTGCCTAAATAAAAGAATGTTTTTGTAGTTTACGTGTAGGATTTAATGTTTCTTCAAACTCGAGTAATAAAAAATCAACAATCCTCAATTAAATTCGGTTGTTTATATGTAAAAATCGAAATAGTGATAATAATATATTAAAACTGTGTGATAGGGTCATCATCATCTTGTGAAAGAAATTGGTAATATCGAATTTCGCGTATAAATAGTTATGAACCACGTGATAATTAAAATTTTTAAATTATTATTATTTTCTCCTAAATTCGTAAATTCTTTTTTTCATTAATCTAAGGTTATATATAGAAGGATGGTTAGTATTAATAATCAAACTTCTCTTGAGATCAACGAAAGATATCAAGAACGTTTACTCGTAAGAGCAAGAAATTCAAGGTGTGCAACTTTGTAAAGTCTCATGAATATAAATGTGTATATATATATATATATATATATATATAGATACTAATTATGAAAATCTCACATTAATGTTTAGATTTAGTCGAAGGAATACAATTAAATTACCCGAAGGTGTAGATCCACTAGATATGTCTTTTGAATCAATATTCGATGATTCAAATAACGAACAAGGCGATGATAATGATTCTAAAAAACAAAAGCAAATCCCTGCCGCATCTAATAATAATTCACCTAAATTGCCTAATTCATCTAGAATTCCTAAATCATCCAGAACTAACAAAACTAAAAAAATCAATGAACTTGAAGCACGTGTGATGATAGAAAATATTGAACCTCCTCCTTCTTCAATTACAAAAAAAACCGCCAATCCCATATCAGAAATTCGAGAAAATTCAGTTGATTCAAATAATCAAAACTTATATAAATCTACTGAGCAAACGGAAGTAGAAAGGCCAAATGGTTCAATCAATCCAAGTTTAGACAAATCTACTGATCAAGTAGAAGAAGAAAATTCAAATGATTCGAGTAATCAATATTTAAATAATTCTACTAATCAAATAGAAGAAGAAGAAAAGCCAATCAATCTAGATAAACCTGATATCAATCAATTAGAAGAAGAATATTTAAATTACTCAAGCAATCAATATTTAAGTAAATCAGCCGCTGTTCAAGTAATAGAAGAAAGGCCGAGCGAATCAAACAATCAAAATTTAGAAAAGTCAGCTGCTGTTCAAGTAGAAGAAAAGTCAAGTGGGTCATCTGTCAAAATATCATTAACTGACTCTGATTTTTATAATCCATTTGAGAATAGAAGAATGACTAGACAAAATAAAGGTTTTACCAGAAAACAGTCCGGCAGATTCACATTAAATATTGATATTACAGATGAGATTGATGAACAATCAATTGCTGCGCCAAATAAAAATCTAGGGTTTACCATGATAGAAAAACAAGATTCATCTCCTACAATAGCATTAGATGAAATCAGTAACAATAACACTTCCACATTAGAAATTATATCAGATGATCAAATATCTACGTCCATGAAATCACCAAATAGTCAATCACCTAAACCTAGTGATATAGAAGAAGACAGTTATTTACCTTTGATCAATAATGATAATGGTATTGATGTTTTTTTCAGTTAACAAATAATAATTTAAAAAATTTTTTTTTAAGTAGTTACTTTACTGATCCTAATCGATAATAATAATAATAATTTAATAAGAAATTTTCTCAGGGTTTGATGGCACATTTGTACTTGAACCTTCATTTGCATCATCATTGGCCAAACCAACCTCTATTTTATCAATACTGGAAAAACCAGCATCTTTTGGCAATATTCCTATCACAATACCTGTTCAATATGAAACAGATAAAAAATATGATCCTATAGGTAGGAATATAATTAACAAAGTATTACCAGAAGAAGAAATGGAGGAAGATGAGGAGGAAAATTTTACTGCTAAACATTTATCAGATCCTAATGAAAGAAAAAGAACAATTTATTTGGCAAATAATGATCAAGAAGAAAGTTCATTTGGAGATGATGACAATCAAGTAATAATAATAATAATAATAATAATAATAATAATAAACCTTTATTTCTCATAAATGAATATTTATGGATTTATTAATAATATATTTTTTTTTTTTTTTTAAGATTGCATTAGAAAAAAGAAAGCATTACACATTAAATGTTAATGAAGTTGAAGATGGCAATATTGTAAGAAAAACAAAGAAAAGGAGTTATTCAAAACATGGAAATCCTACAGTAGAAATTAAAATGATTCATAACATCGTTAATGAAACAATCGATGAATTTTTGTAAGTTGATTATTAGATAAAATATTTGTTTTATAAAAAAATATTTATTAATTATTTTTTTTTAAATCAGGGATGAATTGGAAAAAGATTCATACAAAAATATTATTGAAAATTTCAAGGAAGAATTTGAAATTCAATTCACAAAACAGGTTTGTCAAGGATTTGCTTTATCAAAACTTTAATAGTTATGCATACACATATTTTTGATTTTATTTTATTTTGTAAATTATAATATACCAACCACTAGGCTGAAATTATTCGGAACCAATTGAGTTTACATGAATTCTTTAATCAAAAATTAATACAAATGAAAAAAGTAAAGGATGATTTATTAGAAGTTAAACAAAAACGCGAAATTATTAGTAAAAACATGAGCAAGGAAAGAGAATTATTTAAGAAAGAAGAAGAAGATCGAAAGGTTATTTATTATTAGTTTCCTTCAATAATAATTATTTATATTAATGTTTTATTTCTGCCATTTGCATAAATATTTCATCCTTTTGTTTGCAGAAATTGGAAGGATTGCATAATTTTCTTTCTAACATTGAATTTTTAAGAGAATCTGTTGCACTGGAAGAAGATGTTCCTGACAAAGAATACAATCATCATCATCTAGACTTGGTATTTAAAATTCATGCTGCGACATTTTTAATTAATAAATAATATTATTTAACATCGCAAAAAAACTCTAATCTCTTTTTTTTCAATTTAGAATGAAATTTCAGGACTTATTATCAGCATTACATCGCGTACTGGTGATTTAATATCAAATCATAATAGTGAGGAAGGTGCTCTTAGCATTATAAAAAGATATAATAAGTTATTAGAAACTTGCCAAGAAATATTAGAAAAAGAATGTTAATATTATTAAAATATAAAGATATACATACATTAGCATTATCATTAATTTCTTTCTTTTGTATTAAAAAAAAATTAATTTTAAATTTAATCTACAAGTATATATATAAAAACCAAAAATTTATTTTATTTGAAAATAAAATATTGATTATAATATTAATATTGACATTAAAAAGTATTTCGTCAATTTTTTCATCGGATGACGTTTTAAAGTATTAATATTAATAACCAATACTACATATGGGGATTGTGCCAACAAAACTCACTCTGAGCAAACTTGCTTTTTTTTACATAATATTAAAATAACGTAAAGGTTATAATTGGTGAAAATATTTACATAATAAAAAATGAGAAAAAATCACCGCACAGATGTATTTTGTTGGTACAATCCAATATGCCTTGTTTATTTCAATTACATGTAAATGGTGCAAGTTATATTAAAAAAAAATGTTCTTCAAAATGTTAAATAGTTTACACCCTTAAAAAATATTAATACATTATTTAATAATCTTATGAATCACAATGAAAACGAATGCCTTTCCATTAAATTATCAGTAAATTGGTGAAATGATTTTACTAGATTGTTGAATGAATCTAATTTTATGATGTCTTATTTTTTATAGTATTGATTAACTTAATAATTGTATGAATTGACTTTTAATTATTATTAATCATGCCTAATTTTCCTTTTAATGAATTATCACAAAGTTCATAAACTTGTTCAACTGGGGTTCTAACTTCATCCAACTTATTCAATTTAATTAATTCGTATTGTTCACTGACAAATTCTGTTATATCCTCAATGCTAATTATCCATTCATTAGAATATTTTTTTAATATATCACCTTTCAATCCAAGTTGTATCGCTCTTCTTTGCATCTTTTCTGTGAGTAAATTGTGATCAGGATCCCATTGTAATCTTACTTGTGATGAATTTAATTGTTGTTTCCATTCTTTTTGTAAGGATTTCATATTTGAAGAAGAGGTGTCATTAAATTGATCGAGGCTTGTTAACACTGCTTCTGATAAAATTTCTTCAAATCCTTGTCTTGATAATTTTATTGCCAAAATCTAAAATAAAAAAATCGAGGGTCAGAATGGTATTTATTTGTAAATAACAAACATCGCACATATAATTAATTACTCTTTCTTGATTAGGTTTAGTTGCCCATCCAGACCTATACATCATCCAAGTAAAATTCGTTTTAATCCATGTCATTCTCTACATTATAATAATATAAATAAATAAAGGTTAAAAATATATTTTTTAAATAATTTCGAAATTGCTTTATATAAATTTACCGTCCATGAAAAATCATGCCCACCAAATTTTTGATGTTGAACAGCATAATTAGCGATAGAAGGGTTATAAGCTTGATAAACAATAATTGAATTATCATCAAATTGACCCATAATATGACGTCCACTTTTTGGCCATTGTTGTAATTGTGTAATATATAATTCTGTTTCAAGTGTAATCATTTTTGTAAAATAGAGAGAGAGACGGGTAAAGAAATACAAGTTGCAGATCCCGGGATTTGCCAAAATTAAATGTTTTAATGTTATTATTATTGTAAACAAAGTAATCTTTACATTACCACAATAGAAAAAATAGCATCCTGAAACTGATGTTTTGGATTACAGTCCTGTGGCTGATGATTGTTAGGATAGGATAATTATTATGACGTGTTCATAACGTTTACTCCTGGTCATTATACCTTGTTGTAATGGCTTTAGTGTTTACTCACAGGCTTCTTTTACAGCATGCTCAACAAGTTTAAGAGCCTACGGTGACCGTAGGGTAATTGGTATACTAATACGGTTCACTCTTTCTATAACGGATCGTCGGGATTAGAAAAAAAATCCGTTGTTATTATTATTATTATAAAGTATACGAAATTTTTCCGAAACAAATAATAATAATAATATATGAACAAATTTATTAATAAAATCCTTTATGCCATTTTAACAAGAAATCCGCCGTGGCGAGGTCCGGTTTGACTGTAAATCCTATGTAGAAAAAACTTCCTAATGTTGGAGAGAATTTCAAAAGAGAAAACTGACTTTAACACAGCTTGCTTGGGAGAATATGCAAAATGATAATATACATGACCCAAATAAATCAAGAAAATGCCATGCAAGATAGCAATAGAAATTGAGGATCCCAATTGTTGCATTTTATATCATGACAACATCAATGGCGCATTTTGACAAAATCATGTAAAAGTCATGTATAAAAATTTCCTTCAATTTTTTAATAATATACATTTGATAATAAAAACTGTAATTAATTGATAAGCTGGTTGATTCATAATCCTTTCTGATGATTAATGGTTTGGCTAACCTTTAACTATTAGTTAGGAACCCTTTTAATTTTACCATATTGCTTGCAGTGATGCCTCAAGTAGTATATTTCTAATTTTTTTTTTTAGAACATATTAAGCTGGAAAGAAAACTGATAAACTTGGCCAGAACCCACCTGCAATAATAGTACATGTGCAGCTATAAAGAAACCTTGCACTTGACCAGAACTCGCCTGCAATAATAGTGCATGTGCAGTTATAAAGAAAACCTTGTGCTTGACCAGAATTAGGGTTTCTATTGAATAAAATGAATAATTTAAATTAAGATTGAGTTGTGTGTATTATGAATGATTTGAATATGGCTGGCTTGGTCTAATGACTCCTGTTGCTGCGCCACATGCTCAAATTTCGATTTCGTGATTCGTTCAAAAATGCAATAAAAAGGGTTTATTTTCCTTGCTGCCAAATTTAGATATGATGGTCGTGTATTAGTCTAAATTTAGTATTGATGATCAAAATCTAGTCTAAATTTAGCGATGATACTAACGCTCAAATTTCTCATTAGCATAGTAAAGTACATGTTTTAAAAAAGAATAGAATTCTACAACAAAGAATTTTTTTGAGAAAATCTCTTTATTACATTAAAACTAAATACAGTGTGTAACAAAAAATTTTTGGTGAAATTTAGGAAAAGAATATTTTTTGTTCTTTCCAGTAGCAAATTACCACACCTTTCTATATAAAGACCATTCCTGAAGTTGTTACAAAGATTAAGAAGCTATTTTGATTTAAATAGGATGTCTGAAAGTTTATTATTTTAAGTTCAAAATTTACCCACAAGAGCTTCAACTTAAAAACCTTCTGTTGGTTATATGATGATTATTCAACAATGTTTATGTATTGATGTTGTATAAACTTACTGTTCCTGGGACAAAACTCGTTTTCTCTGAGACAATTTATCATGTTTATAGCCACAAGGTGTTCCAGAAGCCTATTTCATGAAGAACATCTACATTACAATATAACAAAGCATGTGAATAGGTTATGTTATCTTTTATTTTTATAGCAACATGTAGTAATGAAAAATGGTTGAAAATAATAAAATTAATAAAAAAATCTTTCATATAAAATAAAGATCATTGGTACTTATAATGATATTATTAATATCATCAAGTAATTTATAATTTTGAACTAGTAAAGAATTGACTCTGTGCAAAGCTTCAACAAAGTCAATGATTCTCTTCTTGTTTTCATAAAATCATCTACTTTTATAATAGGAATTGTTGTTGAAACTAAGTGAATGAATCTATAAAATGGTGGTGTTTGCTTGTCCAACAAATAGAATGATAATGTAGTTCCTATAAAAAAACAAGGTCAGTGCTAAGGTTTAATATTAAGATAAAACAATTCAGAAATTTACAATACTTACAGTTTATATGCATTTAAAACTATTCCCAGTTGAGACTAAGGTATCCAGTCCAAACTGTTTTCTCAAAACCCAAACTAGTTTGGGCAATTTGGGCTTCTCTGCATTTTTTATAAACATGAACATTAAAAAACTATATCTTTGTTGCATCCACATAGTTCTGAGATTGTTCTTCCTGTGTTTATATGCAAAAAATTAAGAATGTATCCATGAAATCAGAATATTATGTTATGTGAAAACTAGTCTTTCTATATGATTTACTTACATTTTTATTATCATTATAATTTATTCTATGGAATAAAAATCAATAATCTAATTTAGTCAACAATTAATACATAAATTAATTAATTTTTCTAACTTACTGATTAAGTATTCTATTTGATCTTCTTGGGATGGTAGTTGATGATGATAACAATCATTATTCTATGGGTTGAAAAATTAGACATCAAAACAAAATGGACAATCATATTCATTGAAGAGAATATAATTACTTTCTTACTTCATTTTCTTTCAACGATTGTGATGATATAGAATGAAGATGAGTTGCAACAATCACCATTCTTTTAATAATAACTAGAGTGATGACAAGTGGTGGCGATAACCACCACCACCATTCTTACAATAAACAACACTTACTCTTTTTCTTTCTCAAGGTGCTTAGTGTGTATTCTTTTGTGTGGTCTATGGGACTTTTTTTTTTATATAAAAAAATAAAATAATAATAAAAGAATTTGGTTGATCACAAACACATCTAATTTATATATATATATATAAACTAGAGTAATGACAAGTGGCAGGCAATAACCACCACCACCATCCTTAAAACACTTACCCATATATTTTTTCAGCATTTTCTTGTTTTCTTCTTCCACTTCTTGCTTTTGCATCTTTTGGCATTTTTACAAAAAAAAAGAAGTTTGTGATTTGATCGACACTTACACATTAATTATTTATCCTATTGGTTTTTTTTTTGGAAAAACAAAAAACAATTTATTTTTTGACAGTGTCCAAGGTGACAAAACATGAGTGTTGTTGTTTGGTTTGGTTTGGGTCTCCTAAAGAATACGTGATAATAACTAACCAGAGGTACTTTGTTTTATTTGTATTGATTGATATTTTTATTTTAGTTTATAAATATTTTAATTGGAATCAAAACACAGAGCAGATCATTGCTGGGTAATTACAAGATTTTCATTGATAATATTTTGCTTTTTGTAATCAATAATAATATTATTATATTATTATATTATTAATACACTGTTTAAAAAGAAACATTTCAAATATGTGATGTTTGATTATTGGAAATTGGCAGGTGTTGAAGCACGCATGCTACCTTGAACACTACAGTCATTCACACATGTTCCTCATGTACATAAGGCTAATTTGACCTGATGGATCAATGATACAATGATGCTGCAGAATTCCAGGGGTAATATGTGACCCTGGAGTTTATCATGATTGCATCAATTTTCAATGACACTTTCACTAATCTTCCCTCACAGCACCAGACCAGGGATGGCCTCTGGCATGCTGGTCGAAAAGTTGCCTGCAATGTCCCCTACTCTAGGGTAAGGATGGCTCTGTGTCCAAGTTGCAACTCTGCAGATGAATTGTAATATTAGGTGTGCATAAACATCAGATCCATCAAAGTAACAAGAATCTGCAACTCATTTCAAGCACAGAAGGTCACAATTAAGGTTTCTGGCCAAAATTGCTTCTATTAGTAGCCGAAATTGCCCAACTACTTTGGACAAAGATTATTTTTTTTATAAGCCCAAACTACTTTTTGTTATTAGCCAAAATTGGGCAAAATTATTTTAAAGTTGTTTAAGTTAAAACAAGTTGATTCATATAGTTTTTTAATGTTCATGCTTATAAAAAATGTTGAGAAGCCCAAATTGCCCAAACTAGTTTGGGCTTTGAGAAAACAGTTTGGACCAGGAACCTTAGTGTGGATCATGTGATCCCAAATTGTTAGCTCAAAGTTGGACTAGCAGTGGTAATGAAAATAATCAGAAATACACAGCTTGAAGCAAAGGGATTTGATAGTTACCATTACCTTGAATGGATTCCTTATGACTAATTCACAGTTGAAAGAAGGAATAGGTGAAAGTGGTTTTGCAACTGTGTATAGGTGTTCCTGATCAAATGGTCCTAGATATGTTAATCATAATAAAAGATATTATTGTATAGGTGGTCATGTAGCATTAAAAAGGGTTAAAACATTCCTGAAGGGGTTTTTAAAAGAGGTAATAATTTAATACAATTAATGACAATTAATGATTTTTTTTAAACAATATGTTGATTTTTTTATTAATTTTCATAAAGCTTCAAAATCACATTAAATTTATAGGACCTTATCAAATGGGCATTGTTAATATTTATGGCACTTCGCAAGATCCAAATACAAAGAATACATTCTCATAATGAGATACGCAGTTGAAGGAGATTTTAAGAAATATTTAAAATCAAATTATATACAGTCGGCGCTCGATATAGTGAGGTTTTGGCTAGTGCAAATTTGGAAACTATCTGCGTTAATATCCAATCAAATTCAATTTTTCAGAAGATAATTTCCAAATTTGTACTAGCCAAACCTTCACTATATCGAGCGCCGACTGTAAGATAGAATAATAAAATTAAAATAATCCACAACATTATCTCAAGTTTAAACACATTTCATCAAGGAAAACTTACACATGGTGATCTTCACAATGGTAATATTTTATATTTTGATTATTTATCCCAGGCAA